CACCCACACCCACACCCACACCCACACCCACACCCCACCCACCCACACCCACACCTACCCTACACCCACACCCACCCACCCACACCCTAATCCGCCCTCACTGTATTTTTCTTCTACTTCATTTTTTTACGTTCTCTTTTCTTTCTTTTTTTGTATTGTTCTACGTCCTTCCTTCTAATTATCCTATGTAGTGGCAAATACTATGTTAATCGATCAACCAATGAATATCCTATTATATCTTTGATCCCAAGTCTAAAAGCAACAACAGAGTCAAACCTGAAACTTGAATTTAATTATTGAAGTCATTTCAGATATTCAGATATTATAATTGAATATCTAAAGTTAAGAAAGCAGGTGTCCGACTCAGTGATCAACATACCTAACCGGCATGTTTCGTGGCATTCTCACTAAGCGATATTTTCTAAGTATGTACTTCGTGAATAATTGGATTCAACTTTCAGATTTGACATGTATGTAAAGTTTCTAAACAAGCCTAGAAAAGCATCTAAAAACTCGAAAACATTTGATTCCGGGGAACAATTACCATCTCTAACGGTCTAGCTTACTTTAAAATAGGTTTTAGGCAAGCAAAGTAGCGGAACTTTATTTGAGAACAAGAGTTAAGTAGTCTTATAAACTACAGTTGCCGATGTTCAGTCAAAATTGGCTGAGCTACGGCTGATAAAGTTCACATTCATCGAGTACACTGTAGCTCGGTTGTATCACTCCACCACAGACTAACACTTGTCCAGAATTCTCTAGCAGTGTAGCAGTGTGGCCATCTCTTGCTTGAGTCAAGTTGGCTGCCGGTCTCCACAAATCCGTCAGGGGATTATACAAATCGCACGCATTTGTATCATTTAACCCATCATAACCTTCCACCAGAAGTACTTCTCCATTAAGTAAAAGTGTTGCTGTTGCACCGGCTTTAGGAGTCAGCAATGTTCCATTTCGTATAATAGTAAGGCTAGATATATTGAATAATTCGTATGTTTGTAGAGCAACAGATAAATTATAATTAGATTCCCCACCGGAAAACAATATTGCTTGAATAGACGGAATGTATGTTGCTGTGTGATATCCTCGAGCGTTCGACAGGCGTGCATTAAGTGGTACAAATATGTTTGAAGTGCTGTTGTAGATTTCGATTGAATCGAGAGGAGCGTATGTTGCTGAAAAACCGCCCGCGATAACTGCAATGCCATTCGGAATAGCGGTCGCTGTGTGGCCAAATCGAGCTGAAGACATATTGTTGCTAACTAGTTTAAATGTATCTGTTACATTGTCGTAAACATCACCCGTAGAAGATGTACCGATTACACCTCCATAATAGCCGCCCACTAGCAACACACGTTTGTTGCCGCCATAATCAATCAGAGCCGATTTATGCTCGATTCTTGGTGCATTCATTTTGACCGTCCTGTTCGTTATTCCAAGTAGAGGATCGAAAATTTCAGCATTTGAAGTATTCCAACCTCCAGCGATCAGAATTTCATGTGATCCTAGACGATCGGCTGTATGAAGAGCTCGAGCTTCTGTCATATTTCTTCGTAGTACGAAAGATTTGTTCGATGAAAGAAATGTCTCTGTAGACGGAGAAGAAATCCACAAATTATCCCGACTCTTATTATCGCCACCAGTGATGAGAACAGAATTTGTTTCGGGGATGAAGATGCCTGTATGAGCAACACGCGCTGTGCCCATACTTGCAACTATCGTCCAAGTGTTGCTTGAGTCTATGAGTGAGAAAGACACTGTTTTGTTGCCATTCTGTTTTGGATCGAATGGAGAACATTGGGGTTACTACGGGTTGAGAGACTAGTGTTGGTTGTAGTTTCAATCCTGCAGAATTGGAACTGTGGGGGAGCTTAACAAAGTTTTCCTTGAAGAGTGCAATAGGGATGCAATTTGAGCTGTAGTAGGCTTGTTGGTCAGAACTTTCTTGTGTCTTCAGCAATGATAGCAGATCAGATTCTTTTCTGTTTAATAAAGTTAGTGCGCAAATATTTCAATCCTGATAGGATCCTGTATTCTCAAGTTAGAAAAATTTGATTAGAAACTTAAAGAAATTCTCAATAGGATCTTATTATACCTTGAAAAATCTTGTACACAGATATTATAAGGATTTGAAACAGGATCGTGAACGATCTTTCCCAGGTTTCACAAGGAATGGACAGTATTGAGACTAGGATTTCGATAAAGACACTTCTTTTAAATCCCACTAAATAAATTTCATGTCTTCGTTTAATCATGCGGTTAGTGAGATATAAAAAAAAGCTTGCTTTACATCAATATATGGAAAAATACTTAAGCATAAAGCGGTTACTGAGTTTTTCCTTTGAGAAAGAATCCATTTTTACTAAATGACGTCCGTTTTTTGACAAAAAAGTCGGTCGCCTCGTGTTTATCGTTCGTGAAACTAAATCATTATGAAGTGCCCACTGATATTATTCTCAATTCATAAACCAACACAGATGAGAATTCGTATCCTTTTCTTACTGGTTGTTCCAGAATTGGTCGTCGCTTTCTTGTTTCAAGAGATTATGACAGCCGGCGGCACAATGCAAACAGTAAGGATAACAATTAGAATCATCGCTGCTAATGTCAACTTGTAGACTGAAATTTGGCTAAGACGAAAAGGACACGATGAAAAAGAAAGTGTGTTTTCAGTAATTCACCTAGATTGGTTTATTTATTTAATATTCTTCTAAGAGTAACGTTCGCTTTCTGTTTAATAAAACTATGGCGCGCTAACAAGAGACTCATATATGTGGATTTCTTTACTTCATGTACTTCAGAATTAGGTGAATATCAGGGCTCTTTTGCATTCGCATGATTACGTCCTCTATATTGAATGTTTACGCTTGTTGCTTCTGTTTCTTGACGGTCTTGTGTTTGAAAGTAGACATACTAACTTGCCAAGCAATAAGATGCTTGTATACAAACATGCTTGAAGGATCGAAATTATGTGCATGAAATGATCGCAAACATTTCGTCAGTGGGAATCAATTTGAAATCATTTGAAGTTACACGAAATGGCTATTATTCACCACAAATATGGTTCCTTGAAATCATCCTTAAATCATATCAACCTTTGTGGATAATTAAACAATTAACGTTTATACTGGTGATCAAATATGAATTTTTATTTAGGGATTTTTTTTTTAAATAAAATACATTCAATACATAACGTAATTCAATATCATTCCACTTCAACCGTAGTAAAAATCTTGTACCATGAAAACCAAATGATTTAGCGAACATTGCATTGCTTGGAAGTCTACTCAGGTCACCAAACATGTATTGTACCATACACGTTTGACAATCTTATCAAAAAAGCAGGATCCAATCTGTATGCCAACGATTCCGACCGTTCAGAGAGGTTTTATAAATCAAATCCAACAAACCAATTTCCTCGATAGAAGACAATCTGCACTCTGTTCTTTCTTGCAGCATGCTACTAATATGTTGATTGATTTGGTCGAACATAGTAATTTTTTTCTTAGAATTTCTTGCATTTCTCTCAAATCTTCTGCAGATTTCAACTCTATATCGCGTTAAAATATCTTTCAAATAGAGCAATCAAAGCTTGACGAGATTTTTCTCCCTTAGAAACACTTTATCATTTTGCACATTGATTTCTTCAAAGTTTGCTTTTTACAATAGCATCAAAATGTCATAGCATCGTGATCAACTAATGTTGATTCAGCTTCATTTCTTCTGAGTATTGACTTTTCTGTTTCTTTGCAAGAGAAAGAGAGCCCACTGCTGACAGCCAACAAAAAGTGTACCATTCGTCGATTGCTTATTCAACTTTTTCTTCCTTAGTGAAAGCAGCTACTCAGGTATACCTTTTGTGCAAACACGTCATTTTTTCCGCGAAAAAGAATCGAGAGAAGATAGATAGAGCAAGTAACTTTTGCTTGACCTCCGTGAATGATTTATGCGATGCAAACATCACGCGTCATTTTTGCCTAAAGATCACAAGTAGATCTATCATGTTCATCTCAGCTTCGCCCACATAAGAAGTTATCAGAAGATCATGATTCGTGGGCCGAAAGAGTCTTTTTTGGTCAAACTGAATTCCGAGGGGGACTGATTTTATAACGAATACTCTCCAACATTTGAAACCGCAGTTTTCCAAAATAGAAAAAACCTTAAAAACAACGAAAATTCTTCCAAAAATATGATAGTAGAGTCAAAGTCGGATGTGATAAGTCCGTGAAAATTTGGTCATTTTTCAAACAACCATATGTACTCTGAAAGAGAAAGCTTCACTGCATCTTCCTATGATAAAAAGTTAACTTCGATATTTTTTCAAAAAATTGAATTTTTTAAGGTGGTCTTAACGAAGACACATCAGTTTGCAATGAAAATTTTACTCACGCAATAAGAAAAATCTTTGGTGTTGGCTTGATATCTCAACCTCAGTAAGGAGACAGGACTTACCAAGTTCTTGCTGAGGACCAAATTTCAAAGAAAAAGTATCTTATTTAGATAGTTTACGCCAAGGGCGAAACATTTGTCCAATATTGTACACATGAAAACTAAAAACCATAATTGGACATAGCCTTTTTGTGATAATTATTCCTTTCAATTTAAAAAGAAACATTTTCTTTTACTTCCTTTCATTCCCATTTCAGTTTAAACATGAATAATAATAACGGCATTTCTTCGTTTTAATGAAACGATTTCTACGTTGAGAAAATGAAATGTGTACAGTAAATACACTTACTGACGAGAAATAGAATAGCAAGAAAAATATTGCTCTTTACTCTCTCTTCCTTTGTGTATAAGAATTCAGAGTGTGAGTGTGGGTGTCAGCAAATAGAAGATCCACATCCACACTCAAACATAACGAACTCAATCTCCGAAGGTTAAGATGTGTTCTATACTTTACAGAAAAATTGTAAGTTTATTTATGATCGAAAGATAAAAGTTTATTCATCATTTCGTGGTACTAATATAACATCTCTCTGTTGACTTCTTTTAGTCACTTTAATAGTCTCAACCGTTGCTGGTGCAAGACCTGTTTGATTCATTGGCGTCTGGTCAATGTGTACGCGATTATTCAGGTGAATAAAAGTATTGTAAAATTGTTTTCGTAATTGTGGTGTTACATATATAGTTGAAATTCCAATCGATCCTAAACACACTGATGTAAAAATGCCAATTATTCCATATGTTAATGGATATAAATCTTGAGCCATAACTCCATATATCATTAAACCGATTGTTGGAAAACGTAATAAAACTAATATGAATACTAACAATATAATACGTTTAATAATTACTACATCTCTTTCATTTCGATGTCGTCGGTTAATTGTGGCTGCAACCAATGATGTTTGACTTTTTTGACGCATGAATATAGTTATCCATGCATATGATATTCCAATACACACTATAGGAATAATATATAAAAACAGAATATGATATATTTCAGCAGCAATATTTGTATAAGGAATAAGACAATATTGTTCTGTTGGTAAACGAATATACCATTGCATCAAAATCGGTGGTAAAAGTAAACCAAATACTAATATCCATTGACCAATAATCAATCCAATATATAAAGATTGAGCCACTAGATATTTCTTCTGATAGAAAACTATTCGACACAGACGATAGAATCCTTGTATACAATAACTATAATACATTGCACATTCAAATATATCATAGGATAAACCCATTACATAACAAAATGTCATATTTCTAATTAAAAATCCATCAAATAAGTTTGAACCAATCATTACACACAATGTAGCACATACTAATAATGCACATAAACTTGTACTGCATGTTAACAAAAAGGATATATCTTTTAATTCTTGACGACATTTATATGCCATAAAAAAAATTAATAAAAAAATCATAATAGATATGTAAAGTGAACACCAATTGACTATGGCCAGAATTTTTTCTGCCGATACCATTTGATTAGATTTCTTAGAATTGAATGGAAAAATGCTCTGTAATAAATAACTATGGTCTGAAATAAATATTTTAGAAATCATTGACTTAAAATTGTTCATCAGTGAAAACTCATATCTCGTAGTTGATCTGTCAAAATCGAATTTAAATTATTTAAAATATATGAGTTTTAATTTTGAAAGATAAAAATAATTGTCACTTTCTCAAGGATACAGTCTCTGAAAGTCTTAAACTGACATAGATGTTATTCTATGATATGGTCAAGAAATTTATAAACAACTGTCTGCTACTGTTATTTTCAATATTTCAGAGAGAATTACGAGTTCTGTGAACAGAAAAGATGTGTTTGGATTTCTCTCATATTAAATATGTAAAGACTGATTAAAAAGGTTTAACAATTAATGTTGCAATTATCTCTCAGACATATTTAATGACATCTAATCTTCATTCAACAAGCACTTGCACTCACTACAGAAAAATACATAATTTAAGTGATATGCTGAGCCAACAAAACTATTGTATTTTTCAATATAGACACGAAAGACAATGTCATATGTAATTACTTACCTATATTGAATGATTCAATTTATCAGTGATTAGTAGCATGATGATTGAAAAAAGAAAAGCCTCCCATTATACATACCAATACTTGCGGATCTAATTGATTATAGAATTCAAATATCACAGATATTGCCAATAATCTATTGTGTTCATCAGTAATATTTTATTCACTTTCTCTTCTATTCTTGAAGCATTGGATAAATAACATACTATAAGTGTTTGTCAGAGTTATTATAAAAGAGATGCATCTATAGTATGTAAGTGAAAAAAATATTATAAATATGAATGTTTTACGATTTCAAAAGCTTTATATATAGTGGTAGTTGCTCGTTAATAACCAATAATAATGAAAAATCATGATATGTTACAAATTATCTTAAATTTTACTTGATCTATTATATTATTATCTTTTTCTATAGTACATAGTAAAACATACTTTCATTCTGCGACGTCAACGAAGTGCATTTTCTTTTTTTTGATTTCAGATATTAAAGCTAATATCAAATAATGTTGAATATGAATTAACAATAATCTATTATGATTTCATGTTTATACGTATTTTCAATCTATGACATTAGAATGATTAAACAAGTATCAAACATGAAATATGTTACTTTTTTAAGATTAATATTTAGATGAAGATAACGTTTCTTCTCTGAAAAAAAGGATGGTACTCTCAAGAAAAATGTTCATTGAAGATACAATCAAATATAAATGAGTTTATTAAATAGATATAGTATTGTATTTAAATGATGAACAAACAACATGGCATTTCTTCACTGATAAATGCATATATGGTGTCCAATAAGTCATTAGTAAAAGAAAAATTCGAGTATCTTAGGCATAGTTTGACCAAATGGACTAATATTGTTACTATTTGTAAAGGATGAATTAAAACTTTCCTCAATATGCAAATGCTATAGGCAGATCGATTAAACGAGGAGGTTTAAACGAAATTAAAAATAAAAACTGCAACTTTGCGCGTATGCAAAAAATACCATTTCCTATACATATACTTTTAGTAGATATTTAAAAACTTTGTTCAAGATCCTTTTCTATGCTCTCAATGATTACTGAATGATTCCCTTGAAGCGTGCAGTTCCGTACTCTCCAACCTATTATACAGTTAAACATATGTAGTGATATAAATTTAATAAAATGCACTCGATTTATATGTCTCTTGTAGGAAATAAACTATTTCTATTAAAAATTCAAATTTTCGAGAGCTATCAATTTAGGAAGATTTATATTTTGAATCCGAATGAATGAAATGAAAAGTTCTTTTCACATAACAAAAACTCATGAAGTTTCCTTCAGAAATGTTATCATGTGCCATTCTCCACACCATTAGACATTCAGAAGTAAAGAGTTAAATCCATAAGAAAAATATTGTCAAAAATTATTTCCTTAGCTAAAAATAATCGACATCTTAATTTTTTTTTTATTAAATCATCACACTAGCTTCATTGGACCTCATATTTATATTACAGATGCTTGACTGTAGCTAGTTGTGATACTTCAAAACCGTATTTCTCTTAGTGGAGATACTCATATTTTTTTTCCTTTGATTAATGTTTTTAACGGACATTCTATATATGTCAAAACAAAA